CTCAGAGCCATGTATCATCTCCACAGCCAGCCTTGGTCATTTTTGACGTTTTGAAAGGTCAGATGTGCCAGTCTACCATTGACCTTTTAATGGAAAACAATATCCATTTCGTACACGTACCACCAAATTGCACTGATAGGCTACTGCCATTGGACATATCGGTGAACAAACCTTGCAAGGACTTCATGAGGAACAAGTTCATTGAGTGGTACTCACTTAAAGTATGTGAAGCCCTTGAAAACACTCAAAACCCTAGCCCTACAATAGACCTTAGGCTTTCTACAATGAAGCCTCTTGGGGCACAATGGCTTAAATTGTTTTATGACTACATGCAAGCCAATCCTGATATAATTAAGAATGGGTTCAGATCAGCAGGAATAACAGATGTATGTGTTATGTGATTATACATGTACAAGCATACAAATCTGTACATGTACTTGATCATGATGTGTCTTCTGGGATAGTCAAAGAGATATTACAGTAGATAATTAAAACCACAAAAGTTTTGTGGTAGATATTATGATTATAAAACTCTTGACTCTATTTATAATAATGGAATGGAGATTGGGGATGGAAGGTGGGCCCAGAAGTAAAATCTCACTCATTAGTGGAGATTGCTAATAGCATATAAATTTAATGTATTTATGTACAGTACATGTAATTATTGTGTGTTTATAATGTGTGATTGCTTGTTATGTGTGATGATGATGGGATTGTATTACGTGTTTGTATGAATGTCTTAGAGTCTTATGTGTGTGCAATATATGTACATGTATTCCTCTCTCTCTCTCTCATTAATCACGCTCTTCGGAGTGATGATAAGATCAATATTAATCACGCTCTTCGGAGTGATGATAAGATCAATATTAATCACGCTCTTCGGAGTGATGACAAGATCAATATAATCATAGATATTAGAGTAAATGAAAGGGATTGGAAACGGGGGCGTAGGCTGGTTGATGTTGCTATTGGTTACCGGCACAATACCTGATTGATTTCCCATCTCCTCCATTAGTGAGGCTGTACTGCAAGGACTTCGAAGGATATTTATGGAGGTCCAAGAGGACGCTTACTTATGATATACCTACCGTTCCATATAGAAAGTGTTGGACTACCTGCAGCAAGGTTTTTACTTCTACAACGCTATTTTGCAACGAGTTATAGGTACAACAAAATTTTTTCACTTTTCGCCCTTTTTCTGTTGTAACAAACTCATGCTTCATGGATTCTAACCCTAACTAGTATCATTCGATATGCAAATGGAAACTCTTTCATATGATTATAAAGATATTGCACTTTACTCTAGCTTGTTTTCAAAAAAGGGATTATAATGACAAAAAATGCATTTTATGGTTTTAAAAGTGCCATAACATTAACATGGTAAAATTATCTGTACAATAGAAAACAGAATTATAAAGAGGAAACATTAGGCTTCTTGATGCATTAATTTCACTTGCATAGGAACACTTGTTTGCGAGATATTGCTCCTAAAAGAAAGAAAATCAAGGGTAAATTGTGACAAAAAATTTCAACGAGCCTCTGTCAGCCTAGCAGCAATACACATGAATGGAGGTTGGGCTACGCCCATGCTTCCGTTTCCAATCCCTGTCATTTAATATCTATGATATAATCACGCTCTTCGGAGTGATGATAAGATCAATATTAATCATGCTCTTCGGAGTGATGATAAGATCAATATTAATCACGCTCTTCGGAGTGATGATAAGATCAACTTATTTTGTGTATTATGTTTTATATGTACATATATGATGAGTTTGAGTTGTACTGTATAGCTAAGCAATGGACCTCAATTTGACATGCCTTTGTTAAACTAGTTCTTTTTTGTTTAATATATAATAATAAATGTCATTAAAAATAATTATACTATAGTACAGAACTAAAAATATGGCTTAAAAATATGGTTTAAAATAATGATAATAATAATAATAATGTACATGTACAGTAGTAATAAATAAAATAAATAGGCCTATTTTTAACTTAATATCGATATCTGTAATTACGTCTATTACTATTATTTATAATATAACTAAGTACCGTACAGCTGGTTAATTTTGCGGAGAAAATTTTTGCGAATCCTTAAAAATAACCTGGTTTGCGGATTAAATATTTGCGGTTTTGACAGTTATTGTAGCATTATCTACTGTGGTCATGCATGAATTTTATTATTTTGCGGATTTAAATTTTGCGCTTTAAATGGAATCGCAAACTCGCAAAATTTAATTCCCCGCAAATATTTCCTGCTGTACGGTATTTGGAGTAGCAGTTCCAATTCAGTAACTGTGGTGTCTCCTCTCCACTGGCTACGTTGGCTGTAAAATCCCCTCCCTCTTCCTTGTCCTCTTCCTCTCCACCTTCCACCACCATGACCTAGTCCTCGTCCACCTCCCCTGCCTCGTCCACCTCCCCTGCCTTGTCCACCTCCCCTGCCTTGTCCACCTCCCCTGCTTCCTCCTCTAGATCTTCCACCTCCCCTGTTTTCTCCTCTTCCATCTCCCCTACCTTCTCCAACTCCCCTGCCTCTTCCCCGTCCCTGGTGTGGCTCTACAGCTCCATAAGCATTATCTTGGTCGTCATCACGACCACGTACACCAGATTCGCCCCCACCTACATCATTGTGATGACGACCCACGTCCACTTCACCTCCTCTTCCTGTATCTCCACCACCCCGGGGAGGAGAACCACCTTGACCACGAGGAGCAGGTGGCGGTGTCAAATTGGCAGAATTGCCATCTCTTTGTGGAGAATCCTCCATCTCATCCTGTACAAGTAAAGAAATGGAACTTAAGAAGTAAGCTTTAAAAGAAATACTTACATCCAAAAGGAGATCTATCTCTCTTTCCCCCAAACCTTCAGCCATTTTTATTAATATTGTGGCGCCAAAAATTAAAACATTATTATTATTAATATTATTGATTATTATTATTACAGGACTAAAAGTACACCGTTACTATAAAGAGCAATAGACAGGTGAACTAAGGAGCAAAGGAGTGGAGAACAAAACCTTGTTTAGGGACAGTCCTGACACCCAAAATACAATTAATAAAAAATTAGTAATTGTTTATTATTAATTAAAATAATTATTTTATCAAATGAAATTATATACAGTGATTGTATAGATTTAACAAATAATATTATTTTAATGATGTTTGTATGTGTATAATTGACATACATAATTTCATCACTCCGAAGAGCGAGATTCTATTGATCTTTTATCAACGATTCTATTGATCTTTTATCATCACTCCGAAGAGCGAAATTCTATTGATCTTTTATCAACACTCCGAAGAGCGAGATTCTATTGATCTTTTATCATCACTCCGAAGAGTGAGATTCTATTGATCTTTTATCAACACTCCGAAGAGCGAGATTCTATTGATCTTTTATCATCACTCCGAAGAGCGAGATTCTATTGATCTTTTGTCATCACTCCGAAGAGAGAGACATTGTTCAGAGAGATAGAGAAAGAATATACATACGTACAAACACACACACACATACATATATTACTGGCACTTAATT